TCCAATGCTCTTCAGGAGTACTCCTCAAGTCTTTGGAGTTTGTTAAGTAACTTTGCATGTAGTATAATGATGACGTTATATTTGTCTGTATTTCCTGAAGAGGAAGGCCTAAAATTCGGTCCAGGTGCTTATATGTTCATGTCACTTCATGGAGGACTCTTCTTCAGCAGAGCCAAGTATGAAGCTACATTTGCTGCTACAACCGGGGCTGGATCTGTGAAGGTGTAACAGCTATCTGTAAAAGGCCATGTTCAAAAGCATGTAGTGTTAATATTTTATCTCTGCAATGTATCATCTTATATTGCCAATCTGATCAAAATGATTGTGAATAGAATTTAAGTTTCAACAATGTTATGTTGGCTGCATTGTCTGGCCTGTCCAGTTGTCTACCCTTTGTATTGAAATTAATACAATATGACATGTTGTTGAGAAACGGGGTCTGACAGGGTTAGAAACAAAAAAGAAGAATGCAGAGACCAGGTGGACGGAGAAAGGTAGACATGGCATGTATGACACAAAAGGTGACTGAATGTGTTGTGCTGAGATTGAAAAAACTCAAATTACGTGTTTAATTATGTGTACCAATGTTTTGTTAGTGTGTTGTGATTGTGTGTGAATAGCAAACTCTCACTATAATTTCTAATTTTATCAACAAAACCAACGTCAACATCAACAACATCACCTTGTTCTGTAAATCTTTTTTACACGCTAGCACATACATGAACTGAACACAGATTAAATTGCGCTAATTGCACAAAAAAATTGTAAATCAAATACTTCTCTTTCTCTCTCTCGCTCTCTCTCTCTCTCTCTCTCCCCTCACTCTAATCTCACACTCAGAAGCCTGTATGTGTTTGTAGATTAGTCTCACTGGTTACCAGGGAAACAGCATGATATAAAGCATTAGAGTGAGGGGCTTAAAGATATTCAAGGTGAGAAAGGTAGCCAACCTCTGGCATTCCTCTGTCTTCCTCTTTCACTTAGAGCTCTCTGTTTTCAATAAGCTGGACTTCATCTCGCGGACAATCATAGCAGCTGATGTTTTCCAGCTCATTAAAATAATTCTCAGCCACTTCAAGAAATACAGGGCCAACCTGTCCCCAAAGAAGAAGCATTTGGCAATTCTTCCCCTTTGCGAGGTTATGAAAATGTAGAGATAAGGCACAGGTTTAGATTTTAGCACAGTCAACTTAATAAAGTAAGGATGAACCCATGGCACAGACGAGCCTTATGATTTTTTTTGTAAAGATATTGTGAAGATCCCTAAAGCAGAACCAAAATAATTAAAAAATAAGTTTTAAAGGTTTAACATAGGAAATGATTGCCAGGATTTCTGGGCCCCTCAACCAATATTCCTTTCAACCACCACTCCAACGACCACTTAAAGCTTCAAATGAAGGTTGTCAAAATGTTCCTCATTCAACACTTTTTGGTGCCACACATTTTGAATGGATGCTTTTTGTTATTTTAACAATTGACATTGTCATAAAGTGCTGAAGCTTAAAAATAAATTCAGCGTAAGAGAGGAATAAATCCACCCTTACTAGCTTGGTAAAATCAAAACACAAATTCTTAAACCCTAAAAAAACGTGCTCATCTTTTTCTAGGAAAGCAAAGACAAGTTTTGACAGAAAAACACTGACATTGTTTCGGTTCCAAATAATTGCCAGTGTTTTTGTAAAATTAAGACAGTGTGCCGAAGTTTGCTTATCATTTTTGGTAATTAAATGAAGGAGCCCTGTGTCCTCCCTCTCCCCACCCACCCTCATACCGCCCATGTGTGAAGTAGTCACACAAGTGTATCATTACACATCTAGACAGTTGACAGGTCATCCTGAAGACTGTTAATAATCCTCAATAACTCATTGGTTCCTGAAGGGGTTTTTGCAGCCCGTTGATGGCGGTCACCATATTGGAAATGCTGTCTCAAACAAACTTTCGGTTAACCTAACACCAGGCAAAGAGCAGAAGATGAGGCAGGACTTAAGCCCTCTGACAAAGGGCTACACAGCACCCTACCAGCAGTCAGGTCAGTCATGTGCCTTATTATAAATAGGGTTAGGGTTAGGGTTACTAACCTCTCACTAACTAAACTCTTGTCCTTTATAAAATCAAAACGGATGAGTTATAAAAAAATTCACTGCCTATGCAGTTTGTGCAGATAAAGACATGAGCTATTCCGTTTATTTCTGCAATGAAAGGGGGCATTTTTTTGAATGGATGTGTATGTGACTTGGTAAATGATAAATGGATTTGAGATTTAGTGCCTTCCGGGGCTTCAGCAGCCAGCCTCAAGTGGACACTCGAGGAACTGCAGATTTTTGCACCTCCGCATTGGCTTCATTTTTCAGCACCAGAGGTTGCTACTATGTCCCATCTAGGCAGTTAAAAGGTAATAGTATATATAAAAAAAATCTGAAAAAGGTTATTATTGTTCAATTAAACTCACACCCTATTTTTATTCGGGGAATAATTAGTTGGAATTATTACAGACAAACTCTTGAATGTTGATTACACAAGATCTCAGTTTGGAGGGTCGTCAGGTGTAATGTTAGGTCATGTATATTAACATAAGGCTTTGAAATTCCAAAAATTGGGGCTATGTTCTCTCTACTATATCCGAATACTATTTTTTATATGTTGTTACAATTTTTTTACAGTTTGCATTTGAGTTTCAGCACATTTCTTTTAACAATTTAAAGCATATCCTTTGGTTGACGTTGACCTGAAATGAATCCCAATTTTAATTTTTTTCAGGGTCCTTTGCTGTCCTTGGCTCAAACAGCAAACCAAAAACATAAAATGGGTTTCTAGAAAAATGAACAGCGACTGAGAGAAGTGGAGATAAAAAGAGAGAAACACAGGGGAATACAAAAAAAACCAGGCCATCAGAATACCCTTGTCTAAGAATTATAGGACACTATTATGAAAATGCACATAGCTTCCACATATGGGTACGTGTCAAGTGCCTCAGGCTGCCTGGCTTTCACACCTCTGTTATTGTGTTTTATTTTCACCCTGGGTTTAACAGAAAAAGCTTCTGTTTTGATTGAAAAATCAAAATTTAATTTAAATCAATTTCCTGTGTAAAAGGAGAGATCATGTGAATGCAGTGACCTCCTTCGTGCTATGGAAAGCTGCAATTAACTTGAATTAGCAGAGTGTTTTTTTTCATGGTCAAATAAATAAAAAATCCTACACAGTAGTTTGACATGTTGCCTTAGTAAGTTATTAAAGGCAGAATGATCAAGATTTTCCTAAATACAAAAAATCCCTTTCATGTTGAGTAACAGCGTGGAAGTGGTGAAACAAAAACGTGTAGACCTACAGTATGTATAACACCTCTAAGAGAGGCGCAGCAGTTTGGATGAAATGTGGCTTCAGCCGAAGTCTTCTGGCACTGGCCAGATTGTGTAGAGGTGTGTTTTCATATGCTTTAGAATATAAGCTCCATGAAACAAAAATGAATTTCATTTCTCTGATTCACAGCCTCATTTGGCTAACCCTGTTATGTCCATTCATTCACTGGCTCAGTAAGCTTCCCGCTACTAATGCACTTTCTGCGCTGACTCTCACTGCTGTTGCACTCTACTCTGCCAATCCCTGCTCTGCCTCTCAGTACTTCACCTGTTGCTGCTCTGCCTCTTTATGCTCCTTGCTTCCTTTTTCTCTGCCTCCCTCTTCTCCACCCCCCACCCCTCTGCCTCATGTTGCTCCTCCAGTCTCTGGTCCCCCTCTCGCTGTTCAACCTCTGGTTGTCTGGGACAGCTGTGCCTCTTACTCCTCTGTCTCTCTATGCTCTACCTGTTGCTGCTCTGCCTCTTACTCCTCTGTCTCTCTATGCTCTACCTGTTGCTGCTCTGCCTCTTACTCCTCTGTCTCTCAATGCTCTACCTGTTGCTGCTCTGCCTCTTACTCCTCTGTCTCTCTATGCTCTACCTGTTGCTGCTCTGCCTCTTACTCCTCTGTCTCTCTATGCTCTACCTGTTGCTGCTCTGCCTCTTTCTGCTCCGCCTGTTGCTCCTCATCCTCTCGTACACTCATCCTTTCTCTGCGATCACCTGATGCTGCTCTGCTTGCTGCTCTACCTCTTTCTGCGTGTGCACTGTGATTTCTCTTTTCTAGCTCCTTGTTGCTCTGCCTCTCTCTGGTAGGTGCCTGGCTGCTCTGTCTTCTGCTGCGTTGAAACTTGCTGCTCTACCTCTTGCTCATGGAGACAACATTCAACAAATAACAGACACATTTGACTTTCATTTGTTTTATTATTTATTGGAATAAGGCTTGGCTGGTTTCTAATCAAGCAAGTATTCCAGATAAGCTATGGATTTTTATATTTTCCAAAAGAATCCATTCAGATTCACTACATTTCTAACAATCCTATAGGAAAACTATTGGAAAAGCATATGCATTTTTTAAGATAGTAAAAATTCCTGTTGGAATTCCTTTTTTTCTATTGTTTTGTATAAAATTCCTTAGCATGTCTATAAACGTCTTTAAAAAAATTGGAGTGCTTAGACCATAAACACAGAGAAAGGTGCCCTTTTGGTAAAGATAAAGGTCATTAGGGGGCTATAACTGAAAAGAAATCATTCAAGTAACCTGAAGCATTTTTAATTTAAGTTTGAAACAGCATGTGTGGTGTCCAATTTTTATTCATTATGGTGTAGAGATACAGAAAATAAATTTATTATAGAAAGAAAACTAAGTCCTAACCACATGAATTAGTTGCCAAAGTGTTGTAAGTATCTTTCCCTGAAATTGAAAAAAAATAAAATAAAAAATAAATAAATGAAAATGAATTAACGGGAAAAAAACAGTGACTCACAAAACGTGGAAGCTATCATGTAATAGATATATACTTTATTAATTCTCTCTGATAAAATAAAATTACAAAATAATTTCAACCTCAAACGGCACTTTCCTTGTTCATAATTATTTAAGGTATTGTTAACACATATATCATAATTGTCATGACGAATGAGAAGAATACTATAGTTTGGTAATATTTGATATCAGCTATAACTGCGGTTTAATCATAATGGTAGAAAAGACTAAGCAATACAAAGCTAGGTTTCGTTAACAGCATACTATACAATATTCCAAGCGTATGTAATTCAGTATTCCGGCCACAGCATGTCGCTATAAGACAGTTTTTGTCTCCAATGTAAGGGTAGGCTTGTCTCTACTCACACCAGTATGACTCCTCTCAGATATACCATTGTCTCTATTTCAATGCTTTATTTGTTTACAGATATCCTTTCATGGCCATTTCTCTTTTCTAATGTTTATTCGTGTCCATCCATCGTCCTCTGTAACCTGTTTTAAAGCAGTGAAGAGCAGTCCATGTACAGCTCTGTAACAAGTCCATGCCCAAATTTTTCACAGTTATTCCCTCAGAAATATTGTCAAGATATCTGCAACGCCTCCTGCTATCTTTTGTCCCCAGTGACAGCAGCGTTCCCTGCCTATTATTGAAGTCCATTTAAGAGAGAGCACTTTGGTTGCGAGGTGTGTGTGTGTGTGTGTGTGTGTGTGTGTGTATGTGTGTATCTGTATGCATGTGTATGTATGTGTACATGTTCCTGTGTCTGCGTGGCAGTTTAAGTGATTGAGCAAGCCAGACTGTTCTGAGTGTATTTCTTTACACAGAATACATTCATGATAACAGTGCGTTGTTTTGGGACTGAAAGCTTGAAGAGAATGGCAGTTAGTACGTTCTTATTCTTCCCTTTATAAAGAGTTGAGGACACAACCGTACAGAGAAAACATATTCATCACATTAGAATCACAAACAAAACATTTTTGAGATTTGTTTAAAGTAAATTCAACTACAAATGTAAAGAATCATTTGTGTAATTCTTATTTTAAAAATTCAGAGAATTAGAGCAAAAAAAAATACATTCTAAATCTTACAAGTCAATCTGACTTCAACCAACCTGAGCCTCTTCATAGCCTAGAATAAATAGATAATTTATTATTAATGGATAATGTCTGAACTCTTAATGGTCTCCAGCAGAGCTCTTGGCTGATAGACTCCAGTAAAATTCATCAAAACAAGTAAAAAAAAGTCATAAATATATAAATTATGATATTTAATTTAATTTAATTGTTTAATTTTTTGTAACGTGGTATACTCTGTCTTCCATCAACCATCCCTGTATAAATGCACTTAAAACTAAAATGTTAAATTTGAGGTTCAGAAATCAAGGAAAATCTTTTTTTTTTTTTTTACGGAAACTCATTACTACACTTACACATCAGTGTAGCTGTATCTTTACCTCAACCATTGTAGGAATAAAGCCCTGCTGTAGTTGTGTTTGTTTATTTTGTCATCTGCTACTTTCCTCCTCACCACAAACAGACGTTGCTGTGACTCATGTCCCTCAGTGTCATACCAACTTATTTCAACTTGATCTGTAATTTGTGCAGCTCACTGACATTCACTATTCTCCCGACTGAGTAGTTAAAGTGTCACAACTATGCACTGTAGGTCTAAACTACTGCAGCAGCTTGCAGCGACGAAGGATAAGTTGTTTGGATGAACATTTTTTTTTTTTACAGTGTGTCCACACTATTTGGCAGTGCTGTGTGGTGATTGACAGTGCATTGAGTGCTTGGCAGTATAGGCTTAAGTATTATCTTGTGGGCTTCTGCATTCATTCTACTGCATTGTGATAGATTGTGTATTCATGTTTGTGCTGTGTTCCCTTGTATTGCGTGGATAATGTAAGTTGGGAGTGTGTGTGTGGGTGTGTGTATGTATGTGTGCGATGCATGCCACTAGTTTTTTTTTTTTTAAATATATATAATGGTCGTATTGATTGGACCTTCTGTTAAAGGGATGCTCGTTAACACACAATTAGCATTCAGATAGAAAATACATCATAAGGATAAAAAGTTATGGTCATTAATTCCTGATGAAGGGAGAGAGAGATTTAGAGGGGGGAAGGAAAGATAGAGAGAGAGATAGAGAGAGAGAGAGAGAGAGAGAGGGGCGGGGAATAAAAGGCCTTTTCAGTAATTGGAGCTCTGAGTTCATATAATTATTCCTAGTTAGTTCTCCCCCCTCCCTACGTCCCCCTCTCCGTCCTCTCTTCCTCCCTTTCTCACCCTCTTGACGTCCTTCCTCTCCCTCACACCTTTAAGAGTCTCCATTTTATCATCTTCCCTCATTAAGGAAAGCGCCCAAAAGTCCCTAACGCGTCTCATCATTCACACAGGCCCTCCATCTTAATGCTATTAGTCCTCCTCATAGTCCTGTTTTCGTCACTCCAGCTTTAGAGGATCACCTCTCGATTCTCTCCTCCTACTCCTCCCTCCTTTTTCCACTCCTTCAGTCTGAAGAAAGAGGACTAGCCTGGCCTCCTCTTCTCCGACCTTGTTTTCTTCCTCTCCTGGTCCTCAGAGCTGTCTTCAGCAGCTAGAAGTGCAGGTGGTGTTGAGGTTGGGACTCGCCTCAAGGCTCCCCTCTGGGCTCCCAGGGGGAGGTGACAGAGGGGACTCCAAGGCCAAAGTAGTGACCTGGGATGAGGGAGTTACGGGAGATGTGACTTGGACGGGAGAAACTGGAGCTGGAGGACTTGTTAAAGAAGCAGCAGGGGACAGAGGAACCATAGCACCTCCTCCTCCTACACCACCACCACCACCACCTCCTCTACCGTCCCTTGAATCCCTCTCTCGGAGCAGGTGGACCAGGGCGGCATGCTGTGCGCTGAGGGTGGCCGAGAGGTGGGCGGGAAGGGTGTTGAAGCCGGCGGTGAGCTGTTCAACTCGCTGCTCCAGGGACAACATCTGGCGCTCCAAGTCCTCGCTGCGGTCATTGAGCTCCGACATGAGCTCGTACATGACACTCTGCATCTGTGAGGAGAGGAGATGACTCAGTGCACACAGCGTACATTGAACAAGAGAGGCAGTTTGGACACATAAACAGGAGAATTATGAGGACTGCTTTGATATGCTTGATTAAAGATAATGTTTTTGGATTGAATAAAACGAGAAGAGCTAAGGTGTTAAGAAGAGAGAGAGAAGCGAGAGTAGAGAAAGGGCCAGTGTGTAGCTCAGAAGGAGTGAGTATGACACACAGAGAAGGAAAAAAAAATGTCCAAGAGGGAGTAGAGGCTGGAGGGAAGTCTCTGTGTGGGCGTTATAACATTGTGAAAAAGAGAGAATGAAATAAGGCAGCAGAGTGTCCCTGCATCGCACATGCTGGCCTTAGTAACCATGGCGAAACACATAAGTGGTCGGTTGAGATGGAGTCATTGAGATGGCATGATTGCAAAATATTTGCCGATAAAGGCATCGTCCCATGGAAGGGCAAAAACACACACACACACACACACACACACACACACACAAACAAACAAACACACACACACACTTGATCTTTCTCTCCCTCTTATTCTAGTCTTTCAACAATCACACACTCACAAACATAGACGTGCGCGCTCACATTCTCACTCACACACCCACACAGTAGCAGAACAACACGAGCGCTCCCCTCCCTCCCCTTCATTTCCTCCTCGCTCTCTCACTCAGTCATCCCTGTTTTAACACTTGTTCCGGTTGCTAGGAGACGCAAAGCCACAGAAACTGGCAGGTCAGCGCTGAAACAGAGGAATGTTGGGATATATTTTTTTGCGGGGGGGGCAAAGGCACATTAGCTGTTTGATGGTTAAGTGTCCGTTAAGTGTGTGCGCGCGTGTGTGTGTGTGTGTGTGTGTGTGTGTGTGTGTGTGTGTGTGAGTCTCACCTTTGAGAGGTCCACAAGTGTGTTGGCCTGGTCACTGAGTTTTCTCTGCTCCATTTTCACACTGCGTAATCTGCAAACAGACACACACACACACACACATAAATTACACAAATGTGCGCACACACCCAAAGGATACATCCCAGTAAATACACAGTGGTCAGCCCAAAGAACTAATCCCTTGGGGTCCAGACAACAACACAGTGGAGGGGTCACCTTGCCTCCTCCAGCTTCATTTCTACCTGCAGTGAGTTAGTGGATTTGAACGTCCGAACATTTCGAGTACACAGTGTACTCTGAAACACTCTAATTTCGTAAGGCAGGTGAAAACTTGCATTTAATTTGGATTAATTTGGAGACCTATTTTAAGTTTTAGTAACCTGCAGGGGAATTCAGTGTATAGGGAAATAAACCTAAGTGAATGAAATAAGATCAAATAAATAACCTCCCCCCAGTCCAATTAAAAATAGGACCTAGCTGACTCTCAAAACCCAAAACAATAATTTGTAAAGGTCTTATCTGGGCCTTTGTGCAACAAACCCTGTTGCTTCTTAGACTCATTTTAATGATCCTGCACCTTCAGAGGAACATTTTAACCTAACAGCTTTGAACCATTAAAAGCACATATATTAGCCTAAAATCACCCCGTCACTTTGCTCACAGGGTTTGCCACTCCACGTGCTTCAGGATTAGCCACTCCATGTATACAATTAAGAGTCTTTGGTCCCTTGACTCTGCCTTTTGAAGGCACTTGTTCCAAAGTCTAGACTGAGCTGTTCAAGATCAAAGCAGCAGGCGACATTAAAGGGGGGACACTTCACTGTGAAGCTAGACAGAGAATGTACAACAGTGTTTGAGTTGAACAACCTCTGGACAACCACTCAATTTAGCTAACTAAAGAATATTGTTTCTGCTGTATGCTGGATGACTGGGGACAACACTAACTGCATGTCTCTCAGTTACTCTGAGACTATTTAGAGTTACACTAACCATGTAAATTGGAAGTTAATATATCATTACAAACTATATGTCTTGGTTCAAAAGTTCATGGCTGTATGAACAAAAGAGAAGATTATGAAAATAAATACTTGTATGCCTCCACACAAGTTTTTTTTTCAGCTGTAAATGTTGGACTTTTTTTTTTTTTTACTGTGTACTGTGGGTGGAGGCTCTTACTGAGCATGTGCAGTATGAGAACCACCTCTTCAGCATTTTTGGAGGAATCGGAGTAATTGTGGTTGTCCCTTGATGCAACCTTCCCCAGTCTCCCCTATTAGCAGCATCAACAACACTCCTAAGTACAGATAAAGATAATGATCAGAGTGTGCCTAATAGTACACAACACACTGATTACCAAGTCCCACAACTGTATTTTACTGCTGCTAGCCTGCCCCTTTAGTACTTTAGGAGATGATGAATCATTTTGTGTGTGTGTTTGTGTGTATAGGGATTCATGCACTTTATCTGATTATCAATGTTGATTCAACCAGTGGGTGGACAAAGAGTACAGCTGATTTCAATGGCTCCATGAGCTCAGCCGCATGGTTGTGTGCATGTGTGCGTGTGTGGGGTTGTGTGTCTGTGCATATGTGTGGGGGTGCTTGCAAGGTGTGGCCTCACTGATGTATCGCCTGGAGGAACTTCCGCTGGTGCTTGCGGACCCTGGAGTGGTCGATCTTCTTCATCAGCTTGGTGTGCTTGTAGATGAGCCAGGTTTCCCTTAGCACATTAGCCGCTGCATTCTTTATCTGCACACAGAATATAACACACACAAACATAAAAACACATTGTTAGCAACAGGTAGCCTTTGGCAACTGGTTTAGGCAATAGGTTAACCCATCCCATCTTCCCTCCTTTCTTCAATTGTCTTCCTGTAAAGAAAAAAAAAACTAAACCAGGGTTTCTCATCTTAGAGACTGCCCTCATTCTCTCTGTCTCTCTATCTCTCTGCACAGGGCGGTTTGCTTGCCAATGCTTTTCATAAACAGCTCTCTCCTCAGGGAGATTTGGCAATGAGAACCTAACAGGAGTCTCCCCCTCACACACACACACACACACACACACACACAAACACACGCACACACACACACACACACACACACACACACACACACACACACACACACACATCTCTCTCTTGTCTCGGTCTGTCTATATGCTACATTATATCCTAGACAAACTCAAATGGGCTGCATTATCTTGGCTGGTTGGAGGTAATTCACTACAGTGTTACCACAGTTCATTAAAAATGTTAAAATGTGAAAGCGACTGAATTAAAAGAATGTAAAGAGTGGCTGCTTTTTTAACTCGCTGGCAGAGACGACACTCATTCATGCAGAAGAGGAATGTCAGAAAATAGCCCATGTAATGATGCTCACAGATGGAAAGCTTAATAGCCATCACAGTCAATAGCATGATGGTAATTTCCTACATTTTAGTTGAACCATCTAAATGTAAAAATGCTGTAATTTAATTAATTTTATTTAAAGTCAGTTTCAGATTGAATACAACAATCTGGGATCAGGATTCTGTTCAATTATGTGTCCTTATATGCTCCTGTATGTTTCATGCAGCTTTTATCTCTATAGGCTGTAATAATATGTTATCCTAGTTTAAAGCGGGTGGATACTCAATAGGGGGAAGAAGGGAGGGAGAATCTGCAAGGACCAAAATTGAAGGAGAGACTTCAAAGAGATGCTGAACACTGAACAAAGAACAATTATACCCCCGTCTGAGGAGCACAAAAGACCCCGGCAGCTTGGCTAATCAGCACCTATCCACCGCAGTCAAGGACTGCTTACACACACATAGACACACATACATAAGCTCACACATTGTGGACCAACATACGCTATTGGCTACAGATGAAGAGAGGAGGGATAGGCTCTGGGCTTTTTAGATGTATTTTCAATGACACACAGGAAGTCAGCCCAAAAAGAGCTAATCTAACATGCTACACATTGAGCCATTCGGTTAACTTGCCATTTTTTCTAATCACTCTTAATGATGGTTAGTCTTACAAATTGATTTACCCTTACCTACATACCACCTGTAAAGGTAATTTATCAAAATGTGTACATTTAAATTGAACTAACCCAAAAAAAAAAAAAAAAAAAGTGTATTTCTGCCATGGCTAATGGGATTTGGATGTAAACCCTGCTCTCCCATGTTTCTCTCTCTTGGTGTGTTTCAATAGGATTACTAAACTCACATCCGTGAAGCAAGGACACACAGTGACAGAGCTGCAAAGACGCTAAAGAGGAATTGTCAAAAAAAGGACATCTTGTTTGTAGGCCTAAGGCAACAACATTGGAATTATCTTGATGGGTGCGTTCCTTCTTTTTAAGATTTTTTTTTTTTTAAATGTAATAAAACTCATTTTCAAGTTTTAATCATGGGCTAGGATACTGAAGAGCACATTTAATGCTCTCATATCTACAGACATATTGGTAAATTGATACGTCAGATCTTATTTATCATCTTATTACTCACTGCAGAGTGAGTAAAATATGATGAGCGATGGCATGTTGTGTCTGTCTGGCCGGTTTACTCTTACTTTAATTTTCCACACAAACGTTCCACATCAGTCCAGCAGTGCAGAAAGTGCAGAAGGAGCCTGATTTGCTGCTTTGGGGTCATTTAATTAAGCTTCAGCCTTCGTTTAAATCTTGGGAACTGCTCCACATGCAAATAACAGGGACTGATAATATCACACTGCTAAGACGGGAGCTCCATTAATAAAAAAAAAAACACTCAACAAGAACCGCTGATAATACTCCACGAGAAACCAAGTGAAGGCAGCAGCAGCCATGTTTGGACCATATGGTCTATACTTGGGCAGTCATGATAGTGCCATATGGCTGGTAAGGGTCAATGATCTGTTCTGGCTGCTTCCCTACACGGCACACCTTATGTCAGGTACATGAGAAATCTGTTAAAACAAGGGGTTCCCACACCTCAGCATGTTGGGCGTTAGATGACATATTGTGGAAATAAATCAATCAGTATAAATAGAATCACAGACATTATCACCATTAATTATATCAGTAATGCAGCTCAATATTAAGACATTGGTATCAGAAATAAAAAATGAACAACAAATGGCCTCTGACACCTTATTTGCCAGTTATATGGCACCTTTTCCTGATTTGTTTTCCCTTCTTTCATCGCCATGGAAACAGTTTTCCAGCAACATCCGAGGGGCCTGACCCATCCGACCCAGGAGACAATTAATGATGATGCATGTAATTAGTAATTAGGTGCTGCAGCAAAACAATGGTGTTTTCTAGGAGAGCCAAAAATGTAAAAAAACAGGCAAATTACCATGGCAACAACCTCCTACTTCATACACGCTACGGTTACACATGGCATCACCTTCTCTGACATACCTCTCACAGGAAGTGTTGGGGGATGGGGGATGGTAAGTCTCATGACAACCTGATCACTTTTTTTTTAATAAAGCACATCTTTTCTTCCCCTTATTTCCAGGTGAATTGAAGCCTTTTTAAGATTTGACCTTTTTATACCAAAAAAATATATACATTTCAGCCTTAAACCAGAACAAACAATTACAAAATTATTTAATTCTATTTAAAACTAAAGAAAAACAAAAATATGCAAATTAAGGTGTCAAGAACATTTCACAAAACAAAATAATAGAATGCCTTTTGCTCATCAACACCTGCAGCACACAAAGCAAGCAAAACTTTAGTTAACACATTTCATTCCAGGTGAGAGCCTAATGTACCGAACCTTTTTTAATTCTAGACAGCGATTATAAAAGGAAGAGTACACTCAGGTTCAATTGGTAAAAAGAGATGTGTGAAGGCTCTCACTGAGTGTCAGATAGATTTTTGTTTATCATCACACAATCATTAGAATCCATCTGGCTGGTGTGAAAATTTAAAGGCTGGAAAAGTTTGTCATTCCTTTTTAATTTTTGTGTGTGGACTGAGAGTTAGCGTAATAGTAATCTTAGAGGCTTAGATGGTTCCCATTTAGCTGGTGGTGTAAATATTGGAAGGCACTGCAGCACCTCCTCCTTGGCCGGAGCCCAGAGCGTACTCTGAATATTCAGAGAGGGCAAGGTGTTGAATATGCCACAGGGACTTCTAAAAGTGCTCTGAATTAACCATTGGTCCAGAGAGGAGGGGGAATACACTTTCAGAGTCTAAATTATAAGAAGACCTGGAATGTTCTACTTTACAACTGATTGAAATAAAGGCACTGACCTGAGAAAAGACTCTTGAAGCCATTTTTCAAATGATCAGCTGGCTTATTGCTTGTATAACCCCCACATAGTCACTACATTTCCTGTGTGCACATTAACCTCCAAATGTGTTCACCTGCCAACTAAACAGACTTTTTACTTATCTACGTAATACAAAGTCTGTGTCACTACAGGTTGAACCAATGTGTGAATGCGGCAGGTTATAGTCGGGCCTGTTCAGCAAGTAGTTGCGCGTTGCGTCGTTCACAATGAGCAGTTTTATGCTTTATATTCTTTTAAGCTGGTCTAAGTTGACTGTTTATTTTTCATTTTTTTATTTTATTGCTGATACATCTTTATGCATGTTGTAGTGATATGAACACAGACTAACTACTTGAGTGAGAACGCTGAGTTGGACAATGGCAAAGTCTGGAAAATGTCAGGACCCAAAAGTCTGGAGATTCTATGGAAATTGTTTGGAGTTCATATGTGAAAGAGGCAAGTGAGGGGGGTTTAATCGACAAAGTAGTCTTGCCAAAGGAGACACCAGTCCATCCTGTTACAGTAAGTGTGTCAGCAGTTATCGTGGAGCCACAGTTTACAGCTACATTCAGAACTTTTTTAAGGCATTTAAAATGCTGCATAAAGACAAAAAGACATCAAACAAAAGCACATGGAGAATCACATGCACTGTCAACTTGAGGTCTAACTTAATGTAATTAAATTAACATCCGTGTTAATCAAATTAAAGCAAGAACGCTTAAATGAACAATACTTTAAAATGAACCCTATGTAGTCAACTTGGGATGATTTACTTTAAAGCAAATTGTCCTCCTTGATAAGCTTCTGAGGTCTTCTACACTAACTTCACACCACACAAGATTTCAACTGCAGCCTTGTCAGGCACATTTAAAAATCTGATCTGAATATGAAAGCAGAGAAAATTTAAATGGATGGAAAGAAAAATGTTTGAAGTATATTGAAGAACATGTGAGGAACTGTCACAAATACTCAACACATTTGGAGAAATATGATGTGTGGTACATAGATGTCTGTGGAAAAGTCTATTTTTCTGCTTGATTTAAAAGCTGCATTGGATGCAGTTTAAGAGCTCTGGTGCTGTATTAGTGCTATCACTATACTGACATAAAAACAATGACATCACATGTGAAATGTTCCACTTGTTAAGAGCTTCACTGATTGACATTTAATAGACATTGTTGTTGATCAATTCAATGAAGGGAACACAATGGCAGTGATTTAGAAAGCATGCTTGTGTGCTTTAGTGTCACTCCGTGTTTGTGTGTGAACATATGATGATGACAGGATGTAGGGTCTAACTATGCATTATTCATTAAAAAGCCTTGAGTGATTCTGTTCTCTTGTTACGGTGATACGGCAGAGAATGGCCCCCGCCATGTAAATCAATGTGCATACAACAGCTTCAATCATTGCTCTCTCAGTAATAGAGGGCAGGAGACAATTACCACCACATAAACTCAAGACCCTTTGACGGAAATGTCACCCAGCAGCAGGCTGTATTGAGTTGAGTGAAAGTGCAACATAACACCTCCCTTACCTGAGACTGACTTTGTTAAGACTTGGATTTATTAGACTAAGGGTACATTTACTTTTAAATATTAGTTTTTTTAAATTATCTTTATGAAGCGGCTGATTAAATGTGATCAGCAGCAGCCTTGAATGGCTTTACAATGGCTTATGTTTCAACTTCAGTTACAAAAAAGAACTGAATATAAATAAAAGGCATCAGGAACATAAGACTATGATGATTACTTGATTATACAAGTTAGAGTGACGCTGATCTTCAGTTTCAATACGGCCACAGCAGCCAGCTATCAGGAGTTACTGTAACAAACGGTTAAAACTACAGTACTTTAAAAGAAGTTTTCTCCCGCTGTCCTCTGAATGCTCATTGTTGGATCAATGTGCCGTTTAAAAAAACCTTAGGGCTGGGTTGCTGGATTAGCTCAGCAGGTAGAGCCCAACACATGGAGCCCTGGACGCAGCGGTCACTGGTTCGACTCCTGGCCTGCGATCATTTGGTTCATGTCTACCTCCTTCCTCCTAATACAGTATACCTTGCTTCAAAAGTCAATCTGAAAAGAAAAATACAGTCTAGACCTCCCCTGTATGGGGTTTCATTTGATAACTGGTGATTTGGCTCATTATAAATAAGAGTTATTTTACTGATTACATTTACTGAATTGATTGAGTAAAGGTTTTGTGACATGATGAACTGCTAACTGCACAATTTTCAGGAAATGTATAATATCTAAAACTGATGGTTAAATAACATTACCATATATTTTTTCTCTCAAATAGATACAAAACATGTTTCCATTCATATGAATAGAATGATTCCCCCCCCCCCCATGGTTCTGATTAAACTTTATTATGCTAAGGAAAAAAAACTCTGGGTTCAGCTGCTAGTGAATTCTTAAAAATGAAATATATGAAGTATGAAACTGTTTGTATTTAAAGGTTCAGGTTTTGGCCAGCGAGCATCAAGATATGATGCAAAATGTTACTAAACTACATGGTTGGTGAACTGCAGGCGTTATCCAATTGACTACACTTGGTGACCTTTTTCGGGTCCTGGAGATACATTACACTGCTGAAACAAGTCTCTGATCATACTAACATGCTCGTAATGACTGTGCTAACATGCAGATGTCATGTAGGTATGCTGTTTACCATAGTAGCCGGCTTAGTTTCGGACAATAGCATGCAAACAAAATCAAGATTTGCACAAAACAAAAGAACAACTAAAAGGTATATCTGTAAGTAATCATAACAGTCCAGTCAATTTTGTCAAGATATTGCGCTGAAAGTCAAGATAACAGCTTCTTGGTTTCCTGAGTGATTAAGGAAGCACAAATACTTGAATTATAATTCTTTGTAATCCTTTTAATAGTCGATTACATATTTCAGCCTTGAACCTAGTGATGGACTTGTGATCTGAACTGAGCCACCAGCGCCTACATGGCTAAAAAACCCTCAATATTTTACTTCCATGATCCCTTTAATTAATACAATTAATTATTGATATTGTTAAATGAGAACTATTTAATTCTAAATCATTCAGGTGCATTGGAGGGTCAGTGGAATTGAAGTTTGTCAGCAGTCTGTACGTAGAGACTCACACATACACACACACACACACACACACGGTTCAAGGTGTTGAACGTCTTGTGAAAACACACTCTGTTTGACCGGGTCACTGCCTGCAGAAAGACGAAGTGAGTAGCCGGCTGCAATAGAGGGTCTATTCTTCTTCTCTGTCAATATTTTATCAACGCTGAAATCATTGATCACTCTGCCCCTCTCAGTCACCCAGATACCCCGCTGACATAATGTACCCTACATATTTGATATGGGAGCTATTTCTGAAACCTGGGTCTTTCAACCGTATGAAAAATTGAAAAGGACCGGAGGAGGAAGGGGATTGAGAGATGGAAGGAAGGAGGCAGGGAAGAGGAGCGGAGGGGGGGCATTAGGATGAATCGAAGGATAGGGCAAAGGAAGGAAAAGAGGGAGAGACTGTGACAGATAGAAAGTAAGAGAGAGAGAGAGAGAAAGAGAGAGAGAGAGAGAGAGAGAAAGGGGTAAGAGAGACAAATGTCAGAGAAGATAGGAGATAGAGGCTTGGTTATGTAGGAGGAGAAAGATGGGAGATAAAGAGGAAGAAAGAGACAGTAAGTGAGAAAGAGATGACCTTTCATTGCCTTCACTCACTCAAATAACAGGGCACTCTGTCAGAACAATACAGGATGATAGTGTGATGTATAGTTGGGGAACCTGGAGGCGGGGCAGTAAAAGGACAAGCTATAACACCAACCACCCTATATTCTGCACAAAAGTAATCCGAAAATACAGAAAAAAAAATCCTCTATGGTATATAAAAACTGTACTTTTATAAATCACAGCTCTGTCTCGCAAAGAATGTGACCTTTCTCTTTACAAATTACACTTTTGTTTTATTCATGCGAGACGCACTCATTCACACATAAGCCTACACACCCGCTTTGTGAGCTGCGTGTCCATCATGAAGTTGTGTACGTGTTTCTCGGCCTTGGTCAGCTCCAGCTTCCTGGCTACCACGGCAACCACCAGAGCTGTACAACCAGCACCCTGAGAGAGAGAGAGAGAGAGAGAGAGAGAGAGAGAGAGAGAGAGAGAGAGAGAGAGAGAGAGAGAGAGAGGAGAAAACAGAGCGCTGAGTGAGTCAGTAAAGAGGAGGAATTGGTAAATCGGTGGCTGTTGGTCTGGGGAAATTAGCCCTGATGATTGAAGGGAGCCACATGACAGAAGGAGAAGTGAATGGAGGAGAGAGGAGAGGATTACGGAGGAAAGCTCGGCTCCAGATCCACATTTCCTCATGTCGAGGGGAGAGCCAAGTCTATTTTCACTCCCAAGCCATCTGGTGTGAGATCCAGTCTATATCCCCCTATATGTAGCTGAAAAAATAGGCCCCTTACAAAGAAAAAACCCCAACACATCAAAGATTGACACCACCTCATTTGATTTAATTACATGCTGTCAGTCTGCATCACATGGTGTCAGTCTTTTATTGTCACCTGACGCTCCGGGCCTGCAGAAAGTGTAAAAGTGTAAAAAAAAAGACAAACCCGCTGGTGTGTTTTCCAGCTCGGCCCACATGGGACACATGGCGGAGTCATTTGGGAGAGACTGACTGCAGTCTCTCAAGCAGAAAGACATGCATGAGAGAAGAAGAAGAGCAGGAACACGCAGAGGAAGACAGACTTAATTAACTTTCAGATTAGACACTGTTTTCAACAGGGCTTCTGAGCGCTCACAGGTTCCTCAGAAGAGCTGAGAGGAGATGGAAAAGAGGGAAAGGGGAGGAAAAGATAAAGGGAGTGAAGGGTTATGGGTAAATATAAAAAAACACGGAGGGAGTGGTTGGAGGAAGATGGAGAAGAAGGGGATGTTAATGAGGTCACATATCTTCTGATAAGCAATGACTTAAGATTAAGAGTGTTTAATGAAAATGTATGAGGTCTCTGCCTTCCTGCGTGTGAGGGTGTGCGCCTCACAACGGGAGAGAAAGGGATGATAAAAGAGATATAACAACAAAGAAACAAAGTGAGGTCGAGAGCGGAAGGGGAAGGGAGCGAGCAACATTTTTTTTTTATGGGGGAAAAAAAAAAGCAAAGACTTCATGCACACTCTGGAAATGATAAAACAACATTTGACCAAAAATAACTTTGGTTGGCGTTAGTAAAATGTAATGCACAAACAGGCATTAGTGGTCACGTCTATACACTCATCCACTCTATTTGTGTTTATTCACAAGGTATGAATAAAATATGATGAGAGCCGATGGAAAACCCTTAGAGCATTCATACATGTCTGTGCTTGAGGGGAAAATGAGCCCATGTTGGATTGCTATAGTACAGTATGTATAAGCGCTGCTCTGTGTGTATATGTGGGTGTGTGCGCGAAATTGCCCTCCTTGGACATAAACAGTAGGGTGCTGATTGGTTTGTCAAGACTAGCTATAAGTGTGTGCCTTCTATGTGTGCGTGCGTATTTGCTTGTGTATGTACGCCTGCACTCATTTGATTTCAGCAGGGTTCCCTCTGCAATCTCCACACAGTGACACAGCTGATGATGGCTGTGTGCGGCTGTGATTTGTTTGATACGCCTGGGTGTTTCCCTCACAGAGAAGCCATCCACATAGCTGTCAAAAAAAAGAAAAAAAAGGGGGGGAATCACCCAGTTGTGCAAACCTGTGATAAGAACTTCACCTCTTCAGCTTCAGCAAAAATACAGAAAAATTGTTTTGAAACTGGTCAGCAGGAACACTTCTAACAAAGACAGGAAGATGTTGAAAAAAGATGTGAAGCTAATTAGTTTGCTCAACGCTGAGACAAACAAAAGCACATTAAAGGCTTGAAATAGAAGCTACTCTGCATCTTTTTAGCCTAAATTCCCTGGATCCTAGTGTTTTTTAAGATTGACTTTGTAAGGAAGTAACTTCAGTTTATTCATACAGCGCCTTTCAAGAACACAGGTCACAAAGTGCTTCACAATAAGGGATTGAGCTGAGGCATTACAACAGACATTTTAAAGATTTAAAACTTGTTTATAAGGCTTCTCATGGAGTCCAGCCTGCATAACAACGTTTTTGTCATTTAATGATCCCTCACTGTATCTAAGATAGTCTACAGCTTGTTTTCTCAACACAGAGTGTCATAATAAGAACAATGCAGAGATTCACACTTCAATAGTTTTTTAACTCTGCACCAAAACTACGGAACTGTGAATCTCGGAAGCTGTCGACAATAATCTGACGTCGATATACCTAACAATGGCCAACTTTTTTCGGGGCCTCTGATGAAGCCAGCGGTTAGTTACATAGGACTTTGGCCAAGACTTCCTTTTCTATGTGCTGCTTTTGTTTACTGCTTTTGTTTACAGTCCAACAAGCAACATGCAAAGATGCAGCAATGGAGGTGAAGTTAAGATAAAACATTTAGAGTGGATTGTTAGCTGCGCTGTTGCACTTGCTTACTGTAAATAAGCTAAATGCCATAAGATGCATTACGACAGATTAACTCTTGGCCCTTAAGCTCTCCACTCTGTTTTTGCTGCCTAACACAAATATCCCCTGAAACACAAGAGGATAATCAAACTACAAATGGAAATAAGAACACATTCAATAACCCAATCCACACATAAAGACGCTGCATTTTTCATGTAGAATAAGACACTCCCTACCCAAGATATTTCAAAATTAATGTTTTAATCATTGTTTTTGACTAATAGTGACTTTGTTCTTTTCTTATATTGTTTTGCATCTTTTTTGATCTCATATCTTTTTGTCCCTTTCTTAGCTTTGGTGCCAGTTTTTTTTTTGTCATTTATTGGTTTGCTTGGGTTTACTGGATGGTATATGAACTAGATATATTTGCGTGTATTGTTTTATTCCTGCAGTTGTTTACTTTATTTACTCTGAACTAATCACCTTGTACAAGGAGTGATCTCAATATCAATCAAAATAATCATGATTATGATTTCAGACTTAACCGAGCAGCCATACTATGAATGCTGATGTTAAAGTCAAGTGCATAACGACATAAATAAATGCAAATACACACACAGGAGTTCTCTGAAATTTCTTGTAATGCTTCTATACAAGAACAAACAATAAACGGTTCACTGTATTTAAACGTGTTAGCCTCTGCTGCCACCATCCACCCACTCACAGTGACACACAAACACACACATACACACCAACACCTGGCACACCCCCGGCTAGCCTCAGGGCAGTGGTATATTCCAACACTATTGGCCTTTAGGTGTTGTCATAGAAACGACGGCAAGAATTCCTTCTATAGGAACTCATTACAATAATTCTCAAGTAAAGAAAAAACACACGTCCTTTTTTACCCATGATCCCCTTCTCTTCTCTAAAATCATTGCACTTTCTTCTTCCACTCAACCTGCAAGGCCTCGTCTTCCTCGTCTTCCTCGCCATCACAAGCTCTCCTTCTACCTGCATCCTTGTGTCTTCTCTGATGATCAACAAAAATAAACTCCTCTGAACACTCTTTGAGCAAAGTGTGTTTGTGTGTTTGTGTGTGATGTGAGAGGAGAGGAGAGGAGAGAAGAGGAGAGTGTGTGTGGGAGTCATCCTGAGAGTGTATGTCAAGCTCTGTGTCACTGTTTGTGTGGAGGATGCAGTCTGTAACTGTGGGCCTGGGACGTTCTGTATCCACCCGCTGTTTGTTTCTGTGTGCTTATCCGTGTGTGTGTTCAAGTAACAGTAAGAGTTGTACTATCTCTCAAACACTGACTGGATGATTCATACAGCAAAATGGGGGTCTGTGAGTGTGTGTGTGTGTGTGTGTGTGTGTGGGGGGGGGGGGGGGGGGGGGGGCAGCAGTGTGTTTATTCACATATTTAAATGGACTTTAAAGTAAAGACAGTAGGTGAGCTGGCAAAGACAGAGTTTTGGACAGGAACAGAAATGATGAAAGAACACACGTGCAGGTTTTTGTAAGTTGTGAGGAAGTCACTTGACAGAAATAAAGACACCAAAGTCATTTGTTTGAGGGGAGTAAATGATTCCAGCCAGTGCGTCAGACTACACTACAATATTCATCATTTTAAGATGTAAAAGTCTGCGCCTTATAGTGCAGTAATTTCCACCCAAAAGATTGCTATTAAATACCTTTAAGTTGAATTAACTTGTGAAAAATATTTTAGATTTTGAATATTTTCTCAAGGGGATTTCATACTTACTCTAGATTTTAGTAAACCATCATCCAGCAGTCATTTCACTTCTCTGGCTTTATCATTCAATAATACTGGTTACAGATTGTTAAAGAACTACTAATTCTGGATTGTATTCCTTTTTATGAAATGTGTATTGTACCAGTGTTTCTGTTGTTGAAACTGTGTGTTGCTGTTGTTCTTGGCCAGGTCTACCTTGAAAAAGAGATGTCTGATCTCATTGGGACAAACCTGGATCCATAATGGTTAAATCAAATTAAAGAAAATGTAAACAGAAAAAGAAAAACATTGAAGAGGTCCTGTTGCTTTTCTCTGAGCCAGAGGTCACATGATCAAATGAATACAGTGTAACTTGACTGATCTGTAGACTGTTTAGAGAGCTCTTAAGAATGTCAAAGCCCAATTCCAGGATATTTGTCAGTTTTTACGATAATTTATATATTTCTGAATTATTTCATAAAATTGTTTAGGAGCCCCACTATTTGCCAAACCTATTTTGACAACACATTTAATCTTAATTTAAGATGGGAATGCTAAAGCTGCACTCTGTTATCTCACTGTGAAAACAGCCGGTGACAAAGACCAGTTTAAAAACCACAAAGAACCAAGGTGATTTCCAGTAAGTCAGACAAGGACTCTGTCTGCAGGGACGATGAAGTCACCAGAGACATCAGACAGCATCTATCTCAGGATGTCTGGTAGGGTGTCCCGTCTGGTCATACAAGGAAAGAAAACCACCTTGAAGCTAAAAGTCCAACTCATTGCATACATCCCAGTTGTTTATTAGAGGACGAGAAGTATAATAGCTTGAAAAGGACTTTGAATGTCCTTTTGTATGTCTTTATTTTTCACTTACTTTAAAAGCTCTAATATACCTGCTTTTCAAAATACCACTTCTGTAGTTTTATAGAGTGAAAGTGTTTCAAGCAACAGATCCTTCAGGTTTTTAAAACACATGAGGAATGATGGCATCGATGCCAACAGCTAGTAAATGGAATTATACATTTTAAATCTCCATCCAGGCCACCATTATTTTGTTAGAATGACACACATTGATGATGAAGCAAAACACATTACACAGGTCTGTACATAACAATAGTAAAAACATTACATTTTAGAGTTTAGAGAATTACATTATCTGTTTAGCTCTTTTGTTATACACAGCCTTTTTTTTTTTTTTTTACTCACGGTGCCTTCCCATTAATTAGTATAAAACACTGTGTCTGATGGGAAAAGTATCCGCAAGGGACATTTTATCTCTATATTTCCATCTCATTCCTACTTTTCTGACCTTACAAAAAACAACAAAGCTGTCCTTATTACCACATATTGAGACAACTTGACATTTAGCTGCAGAGCTCTTAAAAAGATCTAATTTCCTTGCATTTAAAAAGACACTAATTTCCTCCAATAATTCAGAGCAGTGAATGTTAAAGTTAATACCAGAAACAAAGGGAAATCTTGAAGCCAGGAAGAAAAAGGGCAATGTGACAAATAGAGACAAACAGAGATATCGACAGAAAGAATGCAACAGAAAAAGTAGAAAAACACCTGTGAAGTGAAGCAAACAGAGAAACAGTCAGCGGATTAAACACTGATACTAACAGATGGACGTTAGAGAGGAATAAACACATGGCCTCAGGGAAAGAGAGATGGATGGAGAGAAAAAGAGAGATAGAGGGATAGATAAAAAGAGAGGTAGATATTGGTACAGAATGAAATTAAATACTGAGAGAGAAGAGAGGGAAACTGAGAGTGGGAGGACATGGCACACTGAAAGGTGGGACCTTCATTATGCAATGAGGACAGTCAAGGGAATAACACACACACACACACACACACACACACACACACACACACACACACACACACACACACACAGAAACATGCTCATGTTTGCACGCCAACACACCCAAAACACACAGAAGCACAGATGCAGGCTAATTCAGGGAGGATTGCCCAAATCACCCAAATGGCAGAATTTCTCCTGCGAATGACAGCATGCTCTCTAATCTTCTGACCTCAGAGAAGGGGTGGATAGCAGCAAAGGGGAGGGGGGCGGGGATGTACTGACCATGATTCCTGTGAGCAGACAGACTCCTTTGCCACAGTAGGTGTGAGGGACCATGTCTCCATAGCCGATGGACAAGAACGTGATGGAGATAAGCCACATGGCTCCCAGGAAGTTACTGGTCACATCCTGAGCGTCGTGGTACCTGAAATGAAAACATCACATGTGCTCAGCGGATGGAGTCAGCGTAAAGTAAAAGATGAAAAACTACAACTATGAAAAAAACAACAAAACTGACCCATTGCCTCCTGTCTGCAGATCATCAAACATCAAACACATGTCCTTTGATTTGTCATGACAGAACAAAACACAAAAATGCCTCCATCATCCAAGCCCTGTGCACAACGCTGTTGCCATAGTGACCAAACCTGATTTGAACGAAGTTGATATCTCAAAAAATATTGAACAGAATTGAACAGATAAACTATTACTACTATAAATTATTAATATTTTTATTATCATTTATTATATTTTCTTGGAGATCTTAAGATTTGAGCCTGAAATAGGAAACAAATGATCACATTTTTACCAAGTCTAAAAAGCAGTGTAACTTTATTTTATCAGAATTGTATTTGATAATCTCATTGGGAAAGCAAATGCCAATTTCATTTGGACGCTGACCAAACTATGATTTCCCAGCAGTCTGGTAATTATCGGTAAATTAAGCTTGTTAATCAAATAACACTTTCCTTTATTTCCTTGATTATCTTCCAAGGAGTTTAAACATGTTAAATAATGGACAATCACTTTTCTCTTTCCTGTTAAAGACAATTTAATTCACAGTTTGAAACAGTCTTTGAGTGAGTAGAAGGGCTGCTTGTCAGTATTTATTTCATATTTGAGCTGTCTGCATTGTTTAAGGTTATGTCCTATAAATGTTATACTTTGTTATCAGTCACTCATTTATATGTTTATACAAAGCCTAAAAGGAAAATCTTCCAAAAACTAAATGGGTGTTGTAGTTGGGGGGCTTTTTAAGCCTTTATTTAGAGGTAGGACAGAGGATAGAGTTGGAAACCAGGGAAGCGAGAGGAAGAATGATATGCAAGAAGAAGCCACAGGTCAGACTTAAACCCGCTTTGAAAAAAGAGCCTCTGTACATGGGGCGCACAAACTAACCGCTTGGCCACCTGCACCCCTCAATTAGAGTGATTTATAACATTAAGTATGTATATCATTATATGGGCTGAATAATAAAAAAAGAAAGCACATTATATTGAGACAGAAAGGACAAAAGAATAAACATAAACATGTTTCAGATTAAGAGTACAACTAGTGAGAAAGCCTCAAACTGAAGTCAAATATAAATGTAAATGTATGTTGCAGACATGTCCCAGATTATATTTCCTGCCAATTAATTTTAATTATCAGGTTGAATTCCACGTCCAATAATAGTCCATCACTCTGTCACATGTATAGACACACAAAGACACAAACTTTCCTCTTAAAACTCCCACTGGGGCGGGAAGATGAAATGATGGTATTCCTGGTTATAAGTCGAATAAGATAAGATATACTTTATTAATCCATGAGGGGAAATTACTTTTACACTCTGTTGTTGAGACATGCTACACACACACACATGCACAAACAGGACCCTGCAGTATGGACATGCACTCCGAGGGTTCAGTGCCTTGCTCGAGGGCACCTCGACAGTGCTCAGGAAGTGACCTGGCACCTCTCCAGCTAACAGACCAACTCCAGACTTGTTCTGGACCGTGACTCGGACCGGCAACCCTCCGATTTCAAACTCAGCTCCCTACAAACTGAGTTACTGACACACCAATACAAAGACTATCTTACAATTTTATTATTTTACTGTTTCCTGATTTATTAGTAAGGCAAGGCGAGGCATTAGTAAATAAAAGGCAATACGTAAAATGACCTGTTTGTTAACCTGTAAACTGCAAGTAAGACAACAGTTAAGGTAAGCATTCAAACTCTTCATAGCTTACATTTTATTAGCTAGATAATTAATCTCTAAGCCATTGATCGAGATACCTCGATCAATGCTTATCCAACTTCATCTTGTAACACAACCAAATGGCAATATAAGCTTTCAGCCAGTTCCTAGCTTAAAGTATGTAAATACTAATGTTAGCTGTTGTCTGACTGTAGCTAATATCTTGTCTTAACTTGAAATATGACCTTTTCCCTGTTTTTTTTCTAGAATTGATTGTCTTCTCGGTTCCTGACCAATCAAGAAGCACTAATATTATGATTTACCAGATACTCTGATTTATACTTTCCTCCTTGAACAACGCAGGAAGACATTTTTACAATTAGCCGCATTTGAACTTCCCCACACTGAGTATGACGTCACAGAAAAATGGCCACCGTGTGAAAATGGTCAATGAACCAGCTTTGTCACTGACCTCTCGCACACTCTTACGGTCCAGGCAGCGATTATCCACAGAGAGATGCTGAAGACCAGCAGCACCGTCCCGGGGCAGATAGTCATGAGGGTTTTCATTACAAATCGTGTGTTAAAATGTACCTGCAAAGCACACACACACACACACACATAAAGCACACACTCAGTAAAGCTGATTTTATTTAACATTTAAAACGTTTAGGGCTTAGCTCTGAATCCTTATCCTGTAATGGGATGTTTCCCACACAGATTTGATATTTAGCTAATTAGTCTTCTGAGTAGTTTCTGATAGCAGCCGCACTCTGAGAATCTCTGCTGTAATTGGAGTCAAGATTGGGGCTCGCCCTCTGACACGAGTCAACCATCTAGTGTCTTTGAGTAATGGCCTATTTCCGAGTCTGCAGCTCATTTGTCATCAACTTTTGGCAGATGGATGATTTAAGAGCAACGGTCGAGCCATGGAAGGGTTAAGCAGCTGAAAATGAGTCATCATTTTGGAGCTTCACTTCAATGGAAGCTTTACCTCCTCTGCCTGTAGCTGTAGCCTGAGGGTCAGAGGAGTGCTATCCTAGATACACTCACAACCTGCTAAATTACTCATCTTAAATCTAAACTCTCCTCCTCTTCATGGTTTGCATATTTCCCACACCACAGTACATCTCCACTGGTTTTCCGATAAAGTTTATCGTTTAAAGAATGCCTTCGATCATTTATTGCTCGGCTTGTACACAGTTTCTCTGCACTAGTGTTGCAATCTCATTCGACTCTTTTCTTTTCACGGCCCATTTAAGCCGTGCGCAATATCTTGTTCCCATTTCACGGTCCCATCTCGTATTGTATTATGAGAAATCCACCAAAGCTTACATCTAAGTCTCCTAACAAAAGAAGGGAAAGGGAATTTGAACTAGTAGATGAAAAGACCCAGGGTGAGTAGAAGGACAGAGCTGGAGGAAGGATTGTTAGCGGGATAGAGGTCAGGAATGAAAGGGACGGGGAAGACACAGATTTAAATTCAGAGCAAAGAGCCCTTGACCTTAATAACTCCCTCATCTTTGTCTGGACGAAACTTTGACCGTCACAATCTTTATAGCACAGTGCTCATACACAAAACCCCTCTGACCTTATTTAGGGCGCCTATACTCCTGGAGGAGGCGTCAGTGAACAGTTTGCTGTGTAGAAGCATGACTCTAGCAATGAGGTAGAGGCGCAGGAACATTGGCACGCTCAGCACCATGTCCAGGTCTGCCTCGGCCTGCGACGGTGCATACGAGAAGGCAAGCCGCGCCCGCCACTGAAACTTAATGTCCCCGGGTACTGGATGCACCGCAGACACCAGCAGCTCCAGAGCAATGAGCAGAACCCTCTCCATGGTCATGGCGATGCGCCAGTCGTCTGCTCCGTTGTCGATGACGAACAGCTGCGGGGACAGGAAGGACATGAAAGGAGGTTAAAATAGAGAAGGAGTTACACTTGTTTAAAGCTTTGCAGTGCAAACTTTTCATCACAAATCTCTGCTGGCACTCGTATCTACAGCTGACTAGAAGGATGATTAAAGGAACCAGCAGCAATTTAGAGTAAATGTCTCTTTCCTGAGATGTAAAACACCATCCATCTAATCAGCAATCCATTCAGTCACTTCACTGTGGCCTGAATCATTTTCAAACAGCTCTACAACTCTAACTTAAATTACTTCAAAGACGCCTCGTCATCTCATGCTCTTAAGAAAAACACGGTCCTGGTTAACACTTTAACTATATTTTTCTATATAAAGACCAACATGTCGAGCCAAGCAATGCTACATTAATTGCAGTTTACCCTCTCTGTATGTTGTTCCCTGTATGGTGTTTACAGTTATTTACTGTATTACTTTCTATATTGTCCCCAAAGCTGGTGTAAGAGCAGGTTTCATTACAGGGACCCTCCTCCAGACAGTGCTGACAGGAACTGGAGGGGTGGGGTTGAAAGGTTTGGGGGGGGGGAAGCCAGTTATAAGGAGATGGATGAAGTACAGAGGAAATGAAGAGATAAAGATAGGAACGGAGAGATGTCATGGAGAGGAGGACACTGCAAGAAAAAAAACCCTTAATCTTTTTAAATCAAGATGGTCTTTTGAATTGAAAAAGTGTGATTTTCCTGAAACAAGGGGATATTCTCGTATTGCTAGTTTTTTTCTTCCTCAGCCTTTTTGAGGCACGGAGGTCTTTTCATGGCTGTAAACAAAACATGCTGCTTCACAAAAATGACAGAGAACAGCGTTTGATCCTCCATTACCTCTTGAGGCATGTCGATTTCATTTTTCATTTTTTTAAACGCTTGCATTTTAACAGTGAAATTGCATTTTTTTTTTTTTTACTTACTGAGACAAAGCACAGATTTAATCATGAACAAAAATGTCGTAATATGAGATTCTTGAAATATGAAGAGAGAGAGGAGCCCAACACATAGCATAAGGACATGGAGAGAAACGAGGAACTCCCCTTCACTAAATCAGAGAAGAGTTTACCTGATGCTGCAGCGCCTGCAGAAACAGCCGGTGCTAACAATTGCTCTTTACCACATGATTCATCTCAAGGGCTTTTATCCCACACAAACATTTATTTAGGACAACAAAAACTACAACAATAGGTCAAACATCAGAACAAGCACTGGCAGCCAGCCAGGATATGGTCACTGTCATGATGAAGGCTGACTGAAGCTCACTAAACCACACACTGCTCTTCATTATCTACAGCTCAGCAGGATGTATGTGTTTCTCTTGCTCACCAGCACATATGTACATGCATGTAGCCAACATGTGTACACACATACACGTATGTAGCCTAAACGCACGCGCCTGAGTCATTCTGCAAGAAGTCATTTGAACCAAGGGTCAAACGTTGGCCGTACTCTAATGATTTCACAGAGTGTGTGTGTGTACTGTACTTGTGTGTATTTGTGTATGCCTGAGTGAGTTTGAGCGAGAGTGTGCAGACCCAGCCTCGTCATGGTGACTGTTGCCAAGGCGACAACATCAAAGAGCAGCCAAGCTTAATTAGGAACCCCAGCGAGGGAGAGAAAGAGAGAGAAAGAGCAGGAAGAAGAGGGAGGTGGAGAGTCAAAAAAGAAGAGAGATGCATTGAGAGAGGAGCAAAAAGAAAGCAGGGGACGATGAGGAGAAAAGGTGTGTGTGACAGTGAGTGGAAAGGTAGATGGAAAAATTAGAGGACAGCTCTGCAGACACTCAAGAAGATTTTTGTGTATTTTCTTATTTTTGGGTCAAATTATGGATACAAGCCCCTTTTGGGGATAGCTGGGTCCCATAAGGTGAAGACTAAATTTAACCATCAAGACCTACAAGTTTGTCTGCGTGTGCTTGTTTCTGCCACAGAGTAGAGCACCAAACTGTGTGTACATGTCTTCATTCATTCTTTTCTCACTGTGTTTTTTGAATCTCTACCTCTCTTTTTCTTTCCTTCACACATCCCTCATCCCTGTCCCTTTCTCTCAGAATGACATCTCCTCAAATCAAAACCGAGGTGATCCAGTTCCTTGCTGCTGGAGAAAATGAGCGCCTCTCCCTTCTTCCCCTTTTCCTCCGCCCCTTCCCTTCCCTCCCCTCCTGGCCTGTCCTCCCTCGCGCTCCTGCTGTCGGTCTTTTCCTGGCTAAATCGCCATGAGGAAGGGATAAATAATTAAATTCCATTAGGAAAGTAATCTGTCAATGGGAGTGAGTGAGTGCCAGTGCCCCTACATGGGCCAGGGCGGAGACAGAGAGAGTGAGACTGAGAGATAGATAGATAGAGAGAGAGAGAGAGAGAGAGGGGAAGAAACAGTCTATCGGGAGAGAACAAGAGAGGTCAGAGAACAGCAAAGCCAAATAAACTTGGACATAGAACACAAGCCCAAAGGGGGGGAATGAACAAGAGCATGAAACATAAATTGTCCTCTGTTATCCTCTTAATTTTAACAAAATGTGGCATCACAGGGCAGAGGGCAGGGACAAGGCACAGCAACAGAAAGTGGAAAGGACAGAAGGAGGGCAGAAAGAAAAACAAATAGCAGGCCAGCTGGAGAGAAGGGAAACAGAAAAAAGGAAAAAAAAATGTGTGAAAATGACAGCACAAAACATGCCAGGTCACTTCAGAGGTAAAGGTGTGAGCTCTGGGACAGTTTCTCGACCTCGAGCATCCCACATCTGCTACATCTGCAACCTGCTGGAGGAGTCTGTAACCTCTCATCACTCTTCCTCGGCCAACTCTCTGTGCTTCAACCCCCCCCCCCCCCCCCTCCTCGAAGTCCCTGCGGCTATTGTACCTTTGTAATCGTGTTAAGTCCCTGAATGCAGATGTCTCTCATCACGGAACCAGACACAGAGCTGGCCAGACTCAGCTTGAACAAGCAAGAGAGACATGCAGGGCGTATTTAGCACATGTACATACACACACTCACACACACTCACACACACACACACAAACAATCATGCCCCTGTCAAAAGCAGCCTCTGAAAAACAGGTAGGTGCAGTTTCCCACAGGATCAGAGACAGAGACGTTACAGAACGAACCCTAACATACTTTTACATTTAAATGTCTAGGTCCTACGGCATGGAAATTCCCTGAAACAGGCAGACAAATAACTGGGGCGAGCCAAACACACACATACAAACCAAACACACACACACACATTCACACACCGGATCCACGTGAATATGCATGACTGCTCTGAGGGAACAACCCCCTGTGGCGTTTTTTTCTACACCGTCAACAGCGAAGAGGAAGGAGAGAGGGTAACAGGGAAGTGAAAAGGAAGTGTTGGAAAGTGTGCGAGGGAAGGTTCAGTGTGTGTGCATGAACAATGTTAGCGAGTCTGCCACTAGAAAATCTAAAAACTGCAAGAGAGAGTAAAGAGAGGATTCCACCAGCGGTGTCTTGAGACCTGGAATCCCCTTCGTTTTAAACAAATATGAAAAACAAACTGGGTTAGTTAAATTTGCCAAAGGCTGGCAGTGTTTGATGAATTAGCATTTCTTGGAAATGGTGTGTGAGATGCTTCTCTCATGGCTAAGGAGGAATCTCTTATTTTCTCAGGGCGTATGCATTGCACATAATGCAGAATCTGTAAAAGAAGACACATTATGAGAGGACAGTCCAAGTATGACACTTCTAAGGACTTCCTTCTTAGGAAGTCTACTGCTCACTTTATTTTGTTAATGCTGTGTGCCTGCCAGTGAGTGCCAGGCTGGTGTCTTCCTGATCAATGGACTGCTGCTAAAATCCTCCCAAAGTAACCGAATAACACACTTCTCTAATGCTTAAAGTGCACTAATGGACTGGAGAAATATCTCCTTCTCACACACTCTCTCTGAGTTTCTATTTGATTAAATACATTACAAACAGTTCTGTTCTTTGCCTTTTATGTCTGCATTTCCTGAAAGGATACTTGACGAAATGAGTTTTTTTTTTCTAGACTGCTGTGATTTTTGTTTGTGTTTGCGTGTGTTTGTGTGTGTGTGTGTGTGTGTGTGTGTGTGTGTGTGTGTGTGTGTGCGCGTGAGTGAGGAAGGCCACTGGTGAGTCGAATTAGTGAGTCACGCAGCGGACTGGAACTTCAAATCCATGAACATGCATGGAAGTCCCTGAACGAAATATCAAATGCATGAAAGAAACTTTATATTTGAGTTTTTAAGCACACATTAGATCTGAACCGATGAATCATGTATCTTTTGATTAGCCAAACAGCATCTTTGAAACCACGGTTCATAATAACAGCTGAGCAGTGTTGACACTGTGAGTGTGTCTCTTGATTCATCTTTAGTAAGACCACTGATCATTCAACCCTCAGTCTCCATCTTTCCTAGCCAGTCATTTTTAATTCAAACTAATGGTTTACAGATTGAAAAATCAATCACAGCACTCTCAAAATGTCTCCTGAGTTCATTGTGGTGAAAACAATCTCTCTGCTCAAACTACAATCTGTACGCTATCAGTCTTTGTTCAGAACACAATCACAAAGAATCTGAAAAAAGATGAACTCAAAGAGCAAGCTTAAACTCAAATGAAAAAAAAGTGACAATGCAAAGAAACAAATTTAACAAGCACAGTAAAGAAAATAAAAATTGCACATAAAATAACACATACTAATTTGTGTTGTTGTTTTCAGGGTTGAGGAGCTGAGGCTATACCTAAGCTGACCATGTTGGGTTTTCAGTCTATTTCTTTCCAATTCAATGCTCAGTTCAATGACCAGTCCGTTGATTAGTGAACCATGGAAATAGCTCCCTTAGTAGGTACAACTAAGATACTGGATTAGAGCCCGACCAGTATGGGATTTTTGGGGCCAATATCAATACTAGGAAGGGAAAAAACTGATACCGATATAGGACGATAGCTTTCTGAAATCTGTAGAGATAGCTACAGTGATTTTTTTTTTTGCGTTGATCA